CATTAATGCAGATGAACCGTTGCTGACTCACCAGCCCGCTGACCTCCTGCTGTGGTTCCTAACAGGCCATGGACTGGTACTGGTACTGTGAGGCCTGGGGGTTGGGGACCAGTTTTAGAAGGCTCACTATCAGGATCAAGTCACAATGGGCTGTTGGAACATCACGTAGAAGGTGAAGCCCACCTGCAAAGGTCCATTCCTGAGACAGGACTCACAACTTCAAAGCTTTTAAAAAAATCTGTATAAGTGAGTGATAAACACAGTGATTTTCAGTTTTGTAAAAGTTTTTGCCTTGATTATTACATGGTTAAAAGGTCCTTCGACTTTTACTTTTTTATCCATCCCTTTAAATAAATATTGATTCGTTTAACTTTACACAGGCACTATAATTGACATCGGCCCACAGTTAAGTAATCCAAAATACTGTATATATACTGTTGGGTGGCTTTATTAAAAGCTCCTCAAGGATTCCACAGTATAAAGAGATACAGACATGCAAATAAATGGACAATGTTCATTTATTCAGTCAACAAATATTTATTGAAATCTATGTGCCAGGCACTATTCTAAGCCCTGAAGATATAATTATGAGCAAAAGCAACAAAACTCCCCACTGTTGTGGAGTTTACATGTAGTGAGGGAAAGGGACGGTAAACATGATATACGTGATAAATAAGAAAATTACATGTGAAGCAGTGATGAGCAGGGCTGGCCCTATAAAGATGTGAAAGCCTAGGACAATTCAATCAATTGAATCCTGTGCCCAAGAAAGTCACACTTGAAAGGAGGCAGAACTGCCTTCATCTTTCATAGAATGCATGGGATATCATTAAAGGAAGAAAAAATTAAATCGAATTTTAATGATAGTCAGAAAAGAGGAGTAAGATATAAGAACCCCAGAAGCACATGTTATATTCGAGATTCACAAGGCCACAGGACAGAGAGACAGAGTCACCGAGGCTGTAATTATCAAAAGGAGTTTTATTGTCTAGCTCGAGCTAGGGTCCGAGCCCCCAGAGTGCCAGCGCAGTGACCTCTTCTCCGGGCAGGGACCCTCCTTTGTGTGTTAGTCCTCTTTTATAACTTAGTTGTTTACACACTGGTCTTGCATCCGCCCCCACAGTGATTTTTACTTTAGCCTGCGCCTGATAGGCCCTAACCTGTTCCCGGTCCTACCTGAGAGACTCAGGTTTCTGCTCTTTTTCCTCTGCATCCCATAATATACTCATAATGCCTTGTGGTCAGCAAACAAGCAGTAAACAGAAGCTGGAAGGTGTCTATTGTCCTTATAGCCCAGTATCTTACACACAGAACACAGGGTGGCTATCTCAGGTCCCTAACTCAAGAAAGGAGAAAAATAAAGCAGGAAAGGAAGATGGAATGTGTTTCTTTTGCGAGGGTGAGGGGGCACTATACCTTCAGACGGGAGGCTAGAGAAAGCCTCACTGAGCAGGAAATTTTGAGTAACAATCTGAAGGAAATGAGGAAGCTAGCTAAACAGACACCAGAGGAAAACAGCAAACACAAAAGCCTAAGTCACACAGCACACACAGTGCAAAGACAGTCAGGAGTCACTGGGCAGGTGGAGAAAAGGCCAAATGAGGGGAAAACGGATGCCAACTGAAGACAAATGAGACTTCAAAAAGATGAGGTTCAGCAATGAAAAACAAAGGCAAAAAGGTAAAGCCACGTGTCATATTTATTTCCTTAAATTTGGAGTGATTTCATAAGGTGAAAATGAGTTTTTTAAAGCATAGGAAAGTGAAGGCAAAGCTTGCTGTTTTCAAATGTCATACATAAAGTGGGATCACAAGTACTACACTGATCACTTGTTCTCTGCATCCACAGAAGACAGACAGAGAAAAAAGACTTCAAGATAACTCACTAGGCCTATGCCAAAGAGATCACTCAGGTAATCTCTGGAGATCCCTTCCAGCAATCTGCAAGCCTTAACACAGTGTTTCTTATTCAAAGAGTTATTGACATTTCAGTTTAGGAACTTGGCAAAAAGAAAATCCTCAGCATTTCATTTTATGGAACATAAACACAATTGTGCTAAGTCACATTCCTTCTCAAAAACCTTAAATGGTTCCAGTGTTACAGGAAAATATCTGAAAACATTAAACGCCTGTGATCCAGCTGTTAAGTTTCAGTTTTAGAATTATTCTTTGCTCTCACCAGACTTTCCTATTCATCTTTCCCCAAATGTTTTATAAATGAGTACTCATCTTCACATCTTTCATTACACTAATGTTGCTCTTGAAATGCCTTCTCTACTCTCCTCCACGAATCTAAAAACCTATCTTTCCAAGAGTAAATCTGTGCAGCAAATCTTGGTAAGCAATATATCAGGAAGTACCAAGAACCTTAAAACTGTTCCTAACTTTCACTAGTTTCCTTCTTGGAATTTCATCTAAAGAAATCATCTGAAAGGCAGGCAAAGATTTATGTACGAGGGTGTCCTCTGTAGCATTATTTATTTTTATTCTTTTTTTTGTTTTGTTTTTTGAGACAGAGTCTCACTTTGTTGCCCAGGCTAGAGTGAGTGGCATGGCGTCAGCCTAGCTCACAGCAACCTCAAACTCCTGGGCTCAAGCAATCCTGCTGCCTCAGCCTCCCAAGTAGCTGGGACTACAGGCATGCGCCACCATGCCCAGCTAATTTTTTCTATATATATTAGTTGGCCAATTAATTTCTTTCTATTTATAGTAGAGACAGGGTCTCACTCTTGCTCAGGCTGGTTTTGAACTCCTGACCTTGAGCAATCCACCCGCCTCAGCCTCCCAAAGTGCTAGGATTACAGGTGTGAGCCTCCGCGCCAGGCTTATTTTTATTCTTTATTATAAAGAATTTAAGCATACCATAAAAGTAGAAAGACTAGTACAATGAACCTCCATATATCCATCACCCAGATTCAGTAATTTCTTGCCACATTTGCTTCAACTAACCCCTTTTCCATTATAAAAAATCTCACTTAAGTATTTTAAAGCAAATACCAGATATCATGCCATTTCATCCTAGCCTCAAGCAAAGCTCCCACCTCAGCCTCCCAAAGTGCTAGGATTACAGGTGTGAGCCACTGTGCTCACACCTGGTAAACAGGACAATAGCAAATCTGCTAGCTAAAATACATATTCTTAAAAAAGAGAGAGGGAATTTATATTGATATTTTCAATTAAAATTAAACCAGAGAGGAATTTACTTAATTTCTTAGATTTTATACTTGCATCTCTTATAAACTATAATCTTGATTCCTAACCACATTAACATAACTTATTTGCATTATTCTATAACATATAGGATATTAAAATAGTTTCAAGATACAGGATAATATTGCTACCAATAATTAGTTAAATACAGTATAAAATTTCCTTACAGTTTTATACCTGTCTTTACTCAAATCTGTATTAGTCAGGATTCTCCACAGAAAGAAACCAATAAGATGTGTATATATATGGGGGGGGGCAGATTTATTTTAAGGAATTGGCTAAAGTGATTATGGAAGCTGGCGAGCTCAAAATCTGCAGGGCAGGCTGGCAGGCTGTAGACTTAGGTCAGAGCTGATCTTGCAGTTCAAATCTGAAGGCTGTCTGCTGGCAGAATCCCTTCTCACCCAGGGGAGGTCAGTTTTTGTTTTATTAAGGCCTACAACTGATTGGATGAGGCCCACCCACATTATGAAGAACAATCTGGTTTATTCAAAGTCCACTGATTTAAATGTTTATCTCAACCACAAAACACCCTCACAGAAACACCCAGACTAATGTTTGACCAAATACCTGGTCACTGTGGTACAGCCAAGTTGATACATAAAATTAACCATTATTCCACTAAGACTGTATTGTGGATGACTTGTGTCCCCCCAAAAGATATGTTGAAATCCTAATCCCCAATACCAGTGAATGTGACCTTACTTGGAAATACCATTGCATCACTGCAGATGTAATTAGTTAACATGAGGTCATACTGGAGCAGAGTGAGCCCTTTATTCAACATGACTGGTATCGTATCCTTATAAGAGAAGATATACAGACACAGACATACACAGAGGGAAGATATGAAGACACTTAGGGAGAATGCCATGTGACAATGGAGGCAAAGATCAGAATGCCAAGGATTGCCTGCAACACCAGAAGCTAAGGAAAGACATGGAATAGACTCTCCTTCAGAGCCTTTAGTATGAACCAACTTTGCCGACAGGGTTCCTGGGACTTCTAGCCTCTAATATGGTGAGAAAATACATTTCTTTAAGTCACCAAGTTTGTGGTACTTTGTTACAGCAGCCCTAGGAAACTAATACACACTGCACAGACAAAATACTATGCCACTCAAAGCAATGATCTTTTCCTGTGTGTTGAATTTACTAACTTGTAATAAAGTTAGGTTCATGCATTTCTCTTTGTTTTAGATATTTTATAATTTTTTTAAATTTAATTTTTGACTATATTAGTTATTTATATTCCCAAAGTCAAAACTATATAGTAAGATATATTCAGGGAAGTCTTACTGCTACCCAATCTGTCCTACCTTGTTCCTTCCCTCCCAGAAATATCAAAAAATATAAAATAAAACCAGTAATGGTTATCTGTGGAAGTAAGATTATGTTTCCTAACTCTTCTCTGAGGTTTTCAAAATCAGAATAAAATTAAAAGAAAAAATAAAATAACTTGTTTTATAGGGCCCAGCTCAGGTCAGGTTCCATGACCTCAATGAAGTCTTCCCATAAGTATTTTCTCTTCTCTGAACTCTTACACTATTTTCTGTTTATATTCCTCACTTAACCCTTTGCATCGATCAATCAATACATTGAAAAATTAATGCACTGAGACTGAAGAGCACTGTATATATTATAAGTTTTCATGTATAATCACTTCCTTGATTAAGCTGTATATTGAAGCCAAAGCTGTCTCATACCCGCCCATGGTGGCCAGCACTGCTGCCTGATTAAACCAGAATTTCTTTACCCCAAATATTGAAGACAATATAAATAAAAACTGAAATATATTTATATAAATCCTTTTAATAAAGTATTATCAATGACAATTTCATGTTTAAATAAATACATTGTTAAAAAGTCATGCAAGTGAATTCATGCAAAATCTGAGATTACTGTTCCGTCTGCAGAAATGCTATGCACGGATGCAAAATGATCAAAGGCTGAAATAATAACGAATCTCAAGTAAGTGGCGTAACCATCACGTGCCTGTGGGGAAAAATCAATATGGATGTTTTTAGCAATCCTAGTTAACTGTTAACAAGCAGTTAGCAGAAGAAAGGGTTTGATGCAAGAGTAATATTCTAAATACATAACAATATATTAGTCTTACAGCTCTTTTAGAATTTGTATAGCAGGTTTTCCGGTCCTCATCAGAAGACCCCAAAAATTAAAAAAAAATTAAAAATATATAAAAAAATAAAATAAAAAATATAACAATATATATTAGAGATATCAATGGTGGGGAAAAAACAATATATAATGTACAATATTCACAAGAGAGGTCGGCCACATATAACAGTTATTCTAGTGTAGTTCTATAAGCCAAATATCAGCCGAGGTTTGATGAATATAGCAGATGGAGCTAAAAATTGTAACTGTACATTTCTGATCAGTTTTTTAAACATATCTTTCTAAAGTATTTTTCATGATAAGAGATTTCCTTTGATTAATGTTGCCTCAGAGTATACTACCCTGAAGCATGACTATACTTTTACATGTACATAATTTCTCTGGAAAGTAAGTAGGCAATATATTTAAAAAACTATAAATATGTTTTTACCCTTGTACCCAGTTAATTCTATTCCCTGAAATTTAATCTTAGAAAATAATAAAAAATGTGAAGGTCATGGTAGCAGGAACATATATAAGATGTCCCCTGTGTATTATAATGACAAAAGGAGGAAAAAGAAAATTAGTTTAAATGTAAGCCAATAGGCTAGTGATATTAATATTTTAAAATTATAATTATGAAGCTTATATATAATATTAAATTTAAAAAGATGATACAAAATTGTTCATACATTATTATTCTATGTGATGCATGTAGTCAACAACTAGAAGTAAATAAGTCTATAAAAGCTGTTGTGACAGGGTAAAAAAAATTATGGGTGATTTCCAGCCACCTGTTCCCCCTTACTATTTCACAGATTTTCTATAATGCTGCAACCCTCTCTGATCCACAGTGAGCCCTGAAACAAAATACCAAAGAAAGCAGAGGCTTACTAATCATAACCCACTAGGTAAAGATGGAAAAAACAGGAAGATAAAATTCAGTATACTTAATCATTTTTTGAGACCTCACTGGCCTCCCGGGTTATTGGGCAAATTCTGATAGGAGAGAAGGGAATTAAGGGACTCAAAAACTTCCTACAGAATCTTTTGAAACACTGATTTAATAGTAGCTTCTGGCAAGTTGTGAAGAAGTAAACCTAATGGACAAGATGACACTTTAACCTTCATTTAGAGAAACCAAACACTACCACCTAAAAAATACACATTCAGTTGTTTTCCTTTTTTGTCTCTGTCTAAAACCCGGGCCCAACAAACCAGCAGGATAGAGGAACTCCTGATGAGGCAGCAGCTTCCTCATCAACCAGCATTCATTTCACTCGACAAGCAAAGCCCCATGGAATGTTGTCGAAAAATACCGGTTCTCTTTCCACCTCATCTCTCTTTGGCTTATTTGTTGCTGATCCTATGCTCTAGTTCCCCTTATCTGAATCTCCCTGTCCTTTCATGCTTAAATTAACATACAATTTTGGCATCTCAACCTTTTTTGATTCCTATTCTAAAAGGCTTACAGAATCAAATGAAAGAAAGCAAAGCAAAGCAAATAAATACTTCAAAATGAATGAGAAAAAGAAAATAAAAAATGAATTCTCTTTCATCTTTGCTGTCACTCTTTCTATGATGGATAAAAGTGTAATTTATAAATGCTACATTTAGCTTATAATATTACTGAGAATAACCTTCTCTATTGGTTAAGTACAGAACCTATAATATTATGAGGATATTTATTAACTCTATGACTATGGAGATAGGTTTAAAATATAAACACACTGTGCTGGTTAAAAATAATTTTTATTTCTACAAACTATATTTACTTACCACAAATTCTTCATTTTGAAGCTGTCCCTCTGTGTGTATTAAGTCTAAAAAAACAAATTCAACAGAAATGAGTTAAGGCTGAAAATACATGAGGATAGCTACTGAAATTTATGCTCAGCAAAGCATGATATCTTGTAAACTATAAATTAGGACGAGATTTAAAGGAATATCAGTATTTTGGGGTTGAAATTTGATATAAAAATAGACATTTGATATAAAGTTAAAAAAACAGTAAACTATGTGCTATAAAATATAGTTAGCATAAGCAAAAAGAAATGCAAATATAATTTATGGCAAAGGAATATAAAGTAGGGAATTGATAAAGTATGAAAATCTCTTTTACAGATCAAGCTACTAACAGTAATTGCAGGCCTGAAAGGAGACATTTTACCACACCCATGGGTAACAAGTCAAGCTTAGTTTCTCAGTGAATGTATGCTATGATGCAGAATCGTGTAGTCCATGAAGTGATCTTTTCTGGTATCCAAGTTTAAAAAACTTTTACTTATGTAATTTTGGAGCAGATTAATTTATTTGGTCATGAGCTAATCATATCAAACATTCTTTTAGAAACATGAATATTTGATTTGCATAATATAGCTACTCATGTTATTAAAAATTTTATTTATATAAAAATAATTAATATACATAATTTTAAATTTTAAAAGGGAAGTCTCTAGGAAGTAAGATTGTGTTCCTGTTTCCTAACCCTTCTCTGAGATAATGAAAAAATAGTAATCCCCTGCTTTATCTCTTCTTTCTCCTCCAGTTCTCTTCCTAGGAGTAAACATTTTCAACTCTTTAAGCTGTTTTTCCTGGAATTATAATATATTTATATGCTTTTTATGTTTATAAATTTTTTCCTGACTTTGTATTATGGTAGATGAAAATTTAAGTTTCTTAAACCAATATCCTCCTCCTCCTCCTTCAACTTCTCCCTCCTCCCCTCCTCTCAATTCTGAAATCAATACTTGATAGTTACATTATTAGATCTATATAAATGTTATTTACTGCCGAAATAAGTGATAATTATAATTTATATTTTCTTTCTTCTATAATTCCTCCACCAGAAGTTAATAATAAGCTCTTTTTCATTGCTGCTGTTATGAAAAATTAGAAAATTTCAAACATATATAAAAGAAGAAAGAATATAACTTCTGATACATACCCATTTTCTAGATTTTACAATTACTAAAATGTCGCCATAGTGGATTTATCTAAATTTTTTTTGCTTAAGTATTTTAAAGAAAGCCTAAGAAATTATGACATTTTACCTCTAAAAACTTTATTATCCATTTCTAAATAATTGGCTCAGAAATAATGCTGGCAAAACAAGCACATACCTTTTTCAATCCACTGCTCAAAATCAACTGGCTCTTTAGATGTGCTCTTTTCAATCCTTAAGGTACGTACTGACATTGTAAAACAACAAAATAAAGTGTTAATTATCTACTTGATTCTGTGTTTTTGTCCCTATTTTTTTTCCCCTCTGCCTGAGACTGTCATGCATTCATTGGTGAGACTACACAGAGTACTGGGAGCAGGAACACCATGTTCTGGAAGTTACTCTGTGTTTTGCCATAAATCCCTAAGGTAAAATGTAGTTTTGTGTAACTATAATCTTACAAACATTTGCAAGGATACAACATAGAACAAGTAGAGTGTTTTTTGTTTTGTTTTGTTTTTTTAGAGACAGGAGCTCACTCAGATTGGAGTGCAGTGGCATGATGGTAGCTCACTACAGCCTTAAACTCCTGGGCTCAAGCAATCCTCCTACCTCAGCCTTCCGAGTAGCTGCTACTACAGGCATGCACCACCATGCCTGGCTAATTTTTTGTCTAAATTTTTTTGTTGAAACAGGGTCTTGCTATATTGCCCAGGCTGATCTCAAACTCCCAGCCTCAAGCAATCTTCCTGCTCAGCCTCCCAAAGTGCTGAGATTACAGGTATGAGCTACTATGTTCAGCTCTAGTAGAGCTTTTTAAAATGTGGTATCATCCAGGTTTTTTGGTATACTGATTATAATAATAATTCTATTAGTGGTCTTGGTTGTAAGCCTTTTTATGGAGAACCTTAGAGAAGCCAGACAAGGTGTTAAATGATATACAGCTAGTAAGTGCCAGAACAGGAATTCAAACTTTAGGTCTGCCTGACTCCAGAGTGTCTACAATGAATGGCAGGAGACTTATCAGGGATGCAGTCATCTTTCTTCTGCACTGGTTTTTCTCCACTGTCCCCAACACAGTCTATACCACTCCAGATTCTTTCCTCCCCTTCTCTGTCCTGTTCTGTGCTGTCACTTGGATTCACTCACCCACTGGCTTCTGATTAGATTTGGCCAATAGGAGGCATGAGGGAGATTGAAGGGCAGTCGGAAAGTGAGGTCAGGTTATTTTATCTCCATTTCCTCTCTGCTTCAGTACCACATATTCAACAGTTACCTTATGCCTACGGCTCCTGCATGGCATGCCCTTTTGCACAGGCTCCAGCGCTCACTAGGCTCTGATAACACTATTTCCTTCCCTTGTCCTGAGCAGGGTAACAGCTTGATGCTACAGATAGTTTCTGAGGGCCTTATCATCTCTTGTTTGTTCCCTTAACCCAGGCCACAATTATGTAAGCAGTCCCATCAATAAAGCCTCTTCATATGAACCATCTGGGAGGTATTTTGTTTCCTGCTATGATTTTGTCTGATACACTTTATCCTTACACAAACAGGCCTGGTGCACTGTGGCTTACACTTGTAATCCCAGCACTTCAGGAGGCTGACGCAGGAGGACTTCTTGAGGCCAGGAGTTTGAGACCAGCCTGGGCAACACAGTGAGACCCTGTCTCTACAAAAATAAACGGGCATGGTGGCACGCATCTGTAGTCCTAGCTACTCAGTTGAGGCGAGGAGATTGACCTCAGGAGTTCGAGGCTGCAGTAAACTCTGATTGCACCACTGTACTCTAGCCTGGGTGACAGAGTGAGACCCTGTCTATAAAAATAAATAAATCAATAAACATAGATAAGATTAGAATAATGTTCCAATGGGAGATTCTCCTCCTAAATCCCTCAGAAAATGCCATTAGTAATAGAAGAAACAAAACTATTCAGTGTCAATAATTAGGGTTATACAATTTTAAACAAGAATTTTACAGAGAGCCCCAGGCCAAATGAATCTAGAATAAAGATGTCATGGAACCTAGCATTCTGGCAAGCTGGCTGCTTATGTTCACAATAAGGCCTTTTGCCAAACACTTTCACATAGTAAATTGCATGGAAATTATTATGTGTTTTGGAAGGGTTTCAAATTTGCAGCTTCTGAGAGGCTAATTGAGCTCAAGGCAGTTAACCCATAATCCTCACCCTCTCACTCCAGCAATAAACTGGATTCCATGCTGTAAGGAATAGCTAGTGTTTTGCCAAAAGTTTACTTCTGTGCCTTCTGCTGATGGAAAAATTAAAGAATGATGAAAATTAATGTACAAGCCTCAGCTGGAGCACCAAAAAAAGAAAAAAAGAAAATTAACGTATGATTTGCTTACCAAAGTAACTTTGGATTACAAGCCTTTCAATCTTTACATGTTTGTGAAAAAAAATAATAAACTCCTGGGGAAACATTCCTGTGGTGGTCCAAAACGTTTCTGGATTCCTATTGTTAATAAAAAAAAAAAAAAGAAAGAAAGAAATAGGAATAACCAAATGGTTAGTCATAAAATTCTAATAAAAACCTATTTTTAAAAAATAAATGACTAATGAATTCTTACAATCCTTTTCTGTTAAGTCTGCCTCTAATCTCTATCCAACTTCAATAATTTTTCTTTACTACTACCAGGTATTCTTTTCTAAAACACAAAACATAGAATTGATGTCATTCCTGTCTAAAAGCTTTCAGTGGTCCCTTATTGCCTATAAATCTAAACTCCTTCATGTGGCACTTAAAACTCTGACAATCTGGTTCCATCATTAAAATATCTTCTCTCCCATCACTGTAGTCACATTGGGCTACTTAAAATTCTGCAAACATGTCATGAAGGCTCATGCTTCTATACCTCAGTTCATGAGGTTTTCTTGACCTGAAAAACCCATCTTCCCCTTGCAAAAGTTTATTCACTTTTTGGTCCTATCTCTCTAACCCCAGCAAATCAGAATCACTTCCTCCTTCCTTTGCCCTTATCTCACACTTGGCCTCTATTTCTATATTAGCACTTAAAGAATCTCTTGTGTTTTTATGGCTCCTGCTAGATAGATACTGAGCTCTTTGAGCCCAGCCACTTTCCTTTACTCATCTTTGTATCCCTACAACTACTATTAATACATTGGCTGACTCACAGTAGATGCATGATAAATGTTTGTTGAGAAAAAAATTATGCACTCAATTTTAAGTCATATATATGAAATAGTATATAGTATACATGGTATTGACAATAGAAATAATCATTTGTATCTTAACTGTAAAGCTTTTTTCTTTCTTTTATGGAAATAAACTATCTACAAGGTAATTTATCTTAAGGGTATATTTTTTGAGTTTTGATAAGTCTATATGCTTACATGTAGACTTAAGATAAATCTATATGCTTACATAGCCAATCAAGATATATCATAGAACATTTCCATGACTCCAGAAATTTTTCTTATCTTTCCTTCCAGACAATCCCTACCTCTCTTAGGCAAACACTGCTCTGATTTCTATCACCATGGACAATACCACACGCTTTCATTCTTTTTGTTGTTTTTGTTTGAGACAGGGTCTTGCTCTGTTGTCTGTGCTGAAATGCAATGCTGTCATCACAGTTCATTGCAACCTCACACTCCTGGGCTCAAGCAATCCTCCTGCCTCAGCCTCCCAAGTATCTGGGACCACAGGCTCACACTACCATGCCTAGCTTATTTTTGTACTTTTTTGTAGAGATCCTGTCTCTCTATGTTGCTCAGGCTGGTCTCAAACTTCTGGCCTCAAGTGATCCTTCCACCTCCGCCTCCCAAAGTACTAGGATTACCAGCATGAGCTGAGGTCTGTGATCCACTGTGAGTTAATTTTGGTGTTTGATATGAAGTGGGAGACCTAGATTAGTTAAAATAATCTTGAAAAGAAAGTTGGAGTACTTACATTGTCTGATCTCAAGACTTACAATAATCAAATATATAGTAATCAAAATAGTATAGTATTTTGTAAATATAAATCTTTATAGATCAATAGAACAGAATAGAGAGCCCAGAAATAGACCCACACATATAAGGTAAATTTTTGACAAAAATTCTTTGATTTTAGACAAAGATACCAAAGCAGCTCAGTAGGAAAAGGAAAATCTTTTTAACAAATGGTGCTGGAACAACTGAATAAGAGATGGGATCTTGTTCTATCATCCAGGCTGGAGTGCAGTGGTGTGATCACAGCTCACTCACTGTACTGCAGCTTTGAACTCCTGGGCTTAAGTGACCCTCCTGCCTCAGGCTAACACCCCTGCCCCAAGTAACACCCTCCCCTTTTCCCCCCTCCCTCCCAACCTCCCTCCTTCCTTCCTTCTTACTCTGTTGCCCTGTATAGAGTGCTATGTTGTCAACCTGGCTCACAGCAACCTCAAACTCTTAGGCTCAAGTGATTATCCTGTCTCAGCCTCCACAGTAACTGGGATTATAGGCGCACACCACCATACCCAGCTAATTTTTCTATTTTTTTAGTAGAGATGGGGGTCTCGCTCTTTCTCCAGCTGGTCTCTAACTCATGAGCTCAAGTGATCCTCCCGCCTCAGCCTCCTAGAGTGCTAGGATTACAGGCGTGAGCCACCATACCTGACTTTTTTTTTTTTCATTTTTGTAGAACCTCTTTTCTCCTTTTTCATTGACATATTAAACACAGAGGACAAAAGAAGGGTTAAGGGGAAGTGAAAGTATTATCATCATTTTCTTTAACTCTTATTTCTGAAGAAATTGAGAGTTTGCAGCAAGGCCATAAAACAATACTCACTCTGTGGTAGGGGCAAATTTATAATACTATTTTCTCCAAATAACTCAATGGTTACTTCCATTTAGATAAAGCAACTTGTAAACAGAAAATAACTTTTGTCTACCATATAAAGTCTAATTGTATTTGCTGAAACTGCATATGGATTAAAAGTCTCTGCTGTGCTCTGTTCAGTTATTAGGACTGTACCTACCTTTATTCCAAATGTTTTACTGTACTAAGAGTTTTTGTCTAATCTAAAAATATTATGTCCTTAATCATTCATTAACATGGACTGATAGAGCCACCCTAAAATATTAACTGCTATACATGGCTAATCCTAATGATCTGTAAACATACTCCTTTAAGAGATAGGTCACCAAAGGCATGTAAGGTAAATTGATAACACTTTGGAAAATGGATTTACCTTCAGTCAGGAACAAGGAGTGTTTCTGAAAAGACCTCTATTTCCAGCAAACAACTTAAGGCAAATCTCTATAGTTCTGTGTATCCTCACAGCAGTTCTTACATTAATTTTGCTACTCCAAGTCAGAGTGGGATAAATAACTATTACCCGAATATAGGGAAGTAGATAACTAAGAAGAGACACAGGCAAAAACCAGATATTAAGTTTCTGATTCAAATTAATTTTGAGTTAACATAACATAGCACAAAGAATCTTGACCTAAGAGAAATCATGAGTGATAGTTGATTCTACCACTTGCTCATCTGTGTGATTTTGAGCAAGTCATCTGATTGTCCTTTTCCTCTTCTTTACAATGGAGTTGAAAATACTTTTTTGTACTTCTTATTCCCCAAGCTTACTATGAGGGTCAAATGACATAGTATCTATGAAGTTATAAAGCCCTATGCAAATGTACAGTAATATATGCATCTAAATGTTTGTATGTGTTTATATATGTATATTTTTGATAGTTTCCAATATTAACCAACTTTGACTATATTAATGATATGATTCAACGAGCTACTCAACAGATATTTTAAGACATTGTGGAGTTAAAGATGAGCAAGATGTAGTCTTTGTCGTCTAGGAATTCACAGTTGAAAGAGGAGACATTGGCCGGGCATGGTGGCTCACGCCTGTAATCCTAGCACTCTGGGAGGCTGAGGGCAGACTGTTTGAGCTCAGGAGTTCAAGACCAGCCTGAGCAAGAGCGAGACCCCACCTCTACTAAAAAGATAGAAATTAGCTGGACAATTTAAAAATATATATATGTATATATAAAAAATTAGCCAGGCATGGTGGCTCATGCCTATAGTCCCAGCTACTTGGGAGGCTGAGGCAGGAGGATCACTTGAGCCCAGGAGTTTGAGGTTACTGTGAGCTAGGCTGACGCTATGGCACTCTAGGCAATAGAGACTCTTTCTCAAAAAAAAAAAAAAAAAAAAAATCTATTTATAGAAAGAGGTCAGTTTAGGAATCATAAAAAAAATATCAAAAACCTAAAGATGGGCCGGGCAAGGGGGCTCACGCCTGTAATCCTAGCACTCTGGGAAGCCGAGGCGGGCAGATCGCTCAAGGTCAGGAGTTCAAAACCAGCCTGAGCAAGACTCCGCCTCTAATAAAAAATAGAAAGAAACTAATTGACCAACTAAAAACATATATAGAAAAAATTAGCCAGGCATGGTGGTGCATGCCTGTAGTCCCAGCTACTCAGGAGGCGGAGGCAGTAAGATCGCTTGAGCCCAGGAGATTGAGGTTGCTGTGAGCTAGGCTGATGCTACGGCACTCACTCTTGCCTGAGCAACAAAGTGAGACTCTGTCTCAAAAAAACCAAAAAAACCAAAAAAAAACCCTAAATATGTACAACTGTAATTAGTTCTAGTAATGGTACCAAAGGTGGATACCATCAGGTAATCTAGTTCACCAAACATTTATTAAACTTTGCTTAGCAGTGCTAGTTGTAAAACACACAGTTCCAGTACTCAAAGGATTCACTGCTCTAATATTAAGACTGTAAATAAGAAAGTATAGTAACTCTTACCCATCAATGATATTTTCAGGTGGGTGTTTTTCATCACTTGATGTAGCTAAAATCACTTCGGACCCCTCAGAGCTCAAACAGAGATCAAGTTTTCTCATCTTAAACTGTTTAACCTGCAAATAAAAAAAATAACCAATAAATAACAAAAAAGCAACTTCTTGATTTTGTTAAGTTTATCTGAGGAAAGGGAAACAGAAGGAAAAGCCTGTTGCCTAGCACACAGTTTCACACCCAAGCTATTTAACAAGTGGGAGGGACTCTAATGTTCATTTACATAAGTAAACTTCTGACCTTTCCCAGGGACAATAGTAAGACATGACTATATTTCCACTACTCTGCTCTGGAGCATAAGTTCCTGAATACCCTAGCCAACATCATTTTTTCTGCTTCTAAAATTAAAAGCCCTCAATAATTATATGAAAACAACTAACAAGCTAAGGTGACATGAATTAGTGAGTAGAGTTTAAAAAATTATTTGTAGTTATATTTCTGAAATTTAAAAAAATCTGGAGGATAAAAATAGATATTTTGTGACTGTTTATCCATACACTTATCAACTGAACTGACAAACAATATTATTTACATTTTAAAAGATACACTATCATCATTTTTTTAGCAGAAACTTGAAATTAGAGAAAAGATGACATTTTAGTTATTCTGAAATTCTAAATCAGTCACTTGGGACATAGACTTCAACACATTTCTGTTGCAAGGTTATATTTTAATTAAAAGGATCCTGAAAAAAAAACTGTTGAGCTCTGCAATGGAGCCCGGAAGGAAGACAGAAGAAGGAGGAGAGAAGAGTCTATCAGACCTCACTCTCCTACCTGATCTAGTGGTGACAGGGCACAGACCAATATTCAGATGCAACGTGACTTCCAAAGCTTTATGGACAAAGAGTTAAAGGACAAAGAATGTTTGAAAAAGGGAGGAAGGCTTCCGATGGCACACAATACCCAATACCCGTCATGCCCTAGCCCCTGTCTAACTTTTTTTTTTTTAATGAAACCATTTCAAATAAATAAACAAAAAATACAAAGAATATTACACAAATTAAATAACTATGTGCTCAGATGCCCAGATGTAATAAATGTTAATATTTTGCCATAACTACTTCTGGTTGTTAGTTTTGTTTTTCTGTTTTTTTGTTTTAGAAATAAGTAACCTTTCACTGGTCCCCTGCTGTTACTTGCCCAGAGGTAAGAGCTATTCTGAAGTTGATGAATACCCCTCTTATTTTTAATTTTTTTAAAGAGATGGGGTCTCACTAAAAAAAATTGAAAATAATAGAACAGAATACTAGATAACTATGAAACAGTATCAAACTAGTCTGAAATACGTGCAATTGAAGTCCCAGGAGAAAAGAAAGTGAATAGTGCAGAAGAAAAATATCAAGAGATATGGCTAACATTTTCCCAAAATCTATGAAAGATATAAACTCTTAATATCTGGCAAGGTAAATTTTCCTACTTAATTTTTAAAATTGGTATGGTTCTATGCTTTGTACTTTGATTATTAGAAACAATTTTGGGCCAGGTGCGGCTGCTGGTGCCTGTATCCCAGCACTTTGGGAGACTAAGATGGGAGGATCACTTGAGCCTAGGAGTTCAAGACCAGCCTGAGTAACATAGCAAGACCTGTCTCCATAAAAAAAAATGTTTTTAATTAGTCAGGTGTAGTGGTGTGTACCTGTAGTCCCAGCTACTGGGGAGGCTGAGGTGGGAGGATTGCTTGAGCCAGAGAGTCCAAGGCTACAGAAAGCTGGATCACTCTACAGTACTCCAGCCTGGGGGATAGGAAGAGACCCTATTTCTAAAAAATAAATAAATAAACAATTTTGTTAAGTTACATTAAAAAAAAACTTTGAGATATTGATTGTAATTAAATTTATAGATTAATTTGGAGAGAACTGACATGCTTATGATAATGAGTCTTCAAATCCACCGATCTCGCATATCTCTTTATTTATTTAGGATTCCTTTTAAGTCCTTAAATTGTTTTATAGTTTTCTCCAAACATATCTTTACTTCTTTTGTTAGATTTAATCTTAGACATTTTATAGTTTCTATTGTTAATGTAAATAGGATTTTAAAAAATAACATTTAAAAAAATCTTATTCTGGACTGTACAAGAAATATTTCTAATATTTAATCATTAAATGTCATGTTCATGGAAAGTTTTGTTAGATATTATTCATTGGGTTAGAGAAATTCCCTTCTCTTTCTAGTTTGTTGTTTTCTTTTTCTTTTAAACATGAATGAACAAATCGAATTTTATCAAATACACTTGTAACATTTGTTAAGATGATCATATGGATTTTTCTACGGATTGTTAATGTAATCCATTAAGGTTTTCTAATGTTATAGCATCTCCAGTTCCTGGCATAAACTCTATGTAGATGTCTAAGGTTTATTATTATTTTTATCCATAGATTCAGTTTGCTAATATTATATTTGGAATTTCTGCAAGTGAGACTGGCCTATAATTTTCCTTTGTCATTCAGTCCACGTCTGATTTTGGAATCAAGACTGTACTTCAAACATAAAGAAGTTGGAGAGCTTCCCTTCTTTTTCTAGTTGGTTGAGCAATTTGTGTAAGAGAGGGATTATTTGATCCTGTAAGTGGTAAAGTGTTTGTGGGTAGATTTTTGACAATTTCAAATTCAATAGTTCCATTTAGGTTTTCAACATCTTCTTGAGTCACTTTTGATCATTCATATTAATTATTGATAATTTATATTTTATAGAAATCTATTTCTTCTTAGCTTTCGTATTTATTAGCATAAAGTTGACTTTCTATTATAATTTAAAAACTAGTATTGATTGTATTAAAAGTGTGATAGGCTGGGCGCGGTGGCTCTTATGTGTAATCCTAGCACTTTGGGAGGCCGAGGCGGGAGGATTGCTTGAACTCAGGAGTTTGAGACCAGCCTGAGCAAGAGCGAGACCCAGTCTCTACTATAAATAGAAAGAAATTAGCCAAACAACTAAAAATAGAAAAAATTAGCTGGGCGCTGTGGCACGTGCCTGTAGTCCCAGCTACTTGGGAGGCTGAGGCAGGAGGATCGCTTTAGCCCAGGAGGTTGAGGTTGCTGTGAGCTAGGCTGAAGCCACGGCACTCTAGCCCAGGCAACAGAGTGAGACTCTGTTTCAAAAAAGTGTGATAACATTGGTCAAGAAAAGACATATAATCTAATTTTTAATTAGTGCTGTTTTTCTTAACCACAGCTTTTAATACTATAGATACCAGAGAACAGATCAGTATTTGATGAGCACTGTCAATCCTTAGTTTGAAGAGGAGAAAGATGGTAAATTCCTGTAAATACAGATTGATAAACTTGGATGTTAGTTTTCAACAAAATTCTCAAATTATCAAAATAACATTAGTTTACAAGTTATACCAACCTACACGTTTGTTTGTTTGATGGTGTTCCTACCAATCAGGAACATGTTCTGAACATTTAAAAAAAGCTTCAGACAAAGCTTCTCAAGATACCCTGTGGACCAGATGGAGAAATGTGGATTGGGTGATAGGCAGTACTTTAGGTAGATATTTATAACTCTTTTAATGGCTATACTCTAAGAATGGTGATTAATGGAACACAATGAACTTGTGGAAGACTTTTATCCTTATCTCATTCAACATTTTTACTAATTAAGGATTCAAGAAGTATGCAGTTTTTTATTAGGATGCAAACAGTATTAATTTTGCAGATGACACAAAGCCTGGATGTCAGCTAATAGGCTAGATGACAGAATAAGCACTCAAAAAGAAATGAGCAAACTAGAAAGATGGGTGGCAATGAATAAGATATTTAATAAGGATAATAGTAAAGGCCTACACTCAGACTTAAAAAAAAAAAAATCAATCATACAAGGATTGATCTGATTAGGGGTTAGTCAGCAAACTATTGCCTATGAGCTAAATCTAGCCTGCCACCTGTTTTGTGTGGCCCACAAGCTAAAAATATTTTTTATAATTTAAAATATTTTTAAAAATAAAAACATTTTGTGACACATGAAATTTATATTTTAATGTCTGTGAATAAAGATTTTTTAGAACATAGTCATACTCATTTGTTTATATATTGTCTATGGCTGATTTTGCACTACAGTGAGAGTTAAGTAGCTGTGACAGATTACAGGGCCCATAAAGCCTAAAATATTTACTATTTGGCCCTTTACAAAAAAGTTTGCCAACTCCTGGTCTAGATGTATAAACCTTATAGGTTTAGTTGATCACAAAGTCCACATAGGGCAATAGTGTACTGTATCAAAGGTAAAAGAATGCTATCTTAAATTATGTTGTTAAGAGTTAAGGAAGTGCTACATTCAATAAAAATTTTTGAACATCAACTATAGCTTTTTTTTTTTCTGGAGACAAGAGTCTCATTATGTAGCCAGGGCTAGCATACAGTGGCGTCATCATAGCTCACTGCAATGTCAAACTCCTGGGCTCAAATGATCCAACTGCTTCATCCTCCCTAGTAGCTGGGACTATAGGCACATGCCACTACACCTAGCTAATTTTTTCTGTTCTTTGTAGAGACTGGGTCTCACTCTTGTTCAGGATGGTCTTAAACTCCTGGCCTCCCAGGAGCAAACCTCCCTAGTTGGCCTCTCAGAATGCTAGAATTACAGATGTAAGTCACCAAGTTGGGGCAAACTAAGCCTTTTTAAAATAAGGGCCAGGCACTGTGCTAGTATTGCAAAGATGAATACAACATGTGACAAGACTTGGTTCTTGCCTTCAAGCCCAGAGTCAAGATGGAAAAGCATGCAACTAATAATGTAATATGCTATGTGCTAACATAGTGTCATGCACATCCAGAATACTGTGTTCAGTTCTGGGTAGTATGTTTTAAGAATGATATTATCAGATTCATTATTGTTTAAAGGAGAGTAAATAGTTCATGATGATCTATAAATCACATTACATGGAGAAAGCTGAAAGATTAGGTGCTCCATCATTTCCAGAAGAGATAATTTGGTGAGAGAAATGTGACTACAATTTTTAATATCAGTAGTGCTCACAAATGGAAAAAGGATTAGAATTTTTCTTTCACAGCTCCAAGAGGGTGAACTGGACTCAATAAATACGAATTTTAAGCAGGAAGACATCACAGATATAAGGACTTTCTAGCAAAGTAAAGACTTTTAAATCTTTTCCACCCATGAAAGTATCCAAGAAGAGGAGTAGGTAATAATCTATGGAGGAAACCAAAGAAAGTATTCCTACACTGGTAGTTCTTTTAGGCAGAGTCAAACTCTAGGAAAGGCAGACTGGGAACAAATAATGAAGGATCTTAAAAGCCAGGTTAAAGACAGTGGGCTTTGTCTTGTAGCCCAGTGGTTCTCAACTGGAGTATGGGTAATTTTGACCCCCCTCCCCAAGGGACACTTGACAATGTGTGGAGACAGTTCTGACTCTCACAACTTGGGAGGGAGAATGCTACTAAACATACCATCATGAATAGGACAGCTCCTCCTACCCCTAGAAATAATTATCTGGTCCCAAATGTGAATGGTGTAAAGCTGGAGAAACTCTGGAGTAATCTATTTGGGAGTGGAAAAAATGTGGGGGTTAGAGATTTAGGGAGAACTTGTTTTCAAAAAGAGCTACATTTTAGGGAATGTATCTAGCATTGATATGTATGGAATAGATGAATTGCAAAGAAAGTGTACTCTCCAGATGTTCGGTTCTTTTCTTATCTCACATTCTTAATTATCTAAGTTGTCTGAGGGAAACAAATGCTTTAATACAAAACTCATTTCATACATACTATTAATATATCTTCCATTATCCTCCCCATTTCCTGTCTTGGGTAGAATTACTTAAATAACAAGTAGGACCTATACAGATTGGGTTCTCTTTAAAGTTCTTTTGTTCCAGTTAATGAGAAAGAGACAAACCAACCGTAAAGAAATCCATGGAACAACACAGCAGATATGTTGCTTCCACAACTCCAAAGCGCAGGTTTGGGATGCAGTCTAATCCTCACCCCTTTAGAGCAAAGTGTGCCAAGCTCTAAATACACATGTATTCCCTCGGGGCCTCAGTTTACCAAAGATGGTGCATTCTGGGGTGCCACCCTTTCCATTTTTTACACTCCCTGTAACTTCTTTGACATCTTATCCTGTCCTCCCAACGAGGGCCACTGGTTTCATCTCCAGCTCCCACGCCCTCTCTGGTCCTTCTTTCCGAAAACCCCTCCAAGTCAAGTCCTCAGCTGACTTTCTCCTCGACCAGCCCGCTCGCTCGCTCGCTCGATTCTAGCGCTCCCACAACTGAACTCCTCAAGCCCTTTCCTATGACATCATCCCTTGGGAACTTGGGGCACAGCCTCTGACCGGACCAGGGCCTACAGCTTCAAAGACATAGCAGCCCTGACACTACCTACTCATCACCACCCCTTCAATTCAGTCCAAGGACATTTGAAAACTTCCCAAAGGCCCTGAACATTCATTCTTTTGGAGGCCACGCCCCAAATTGTGTAAAAAAAATATTAAATATAATTCATAACTATGTGAGTTCCTTTGCGGCTGACATCTTACATTTTGGTAGATTTAATAATTTCGACTTGCAACTGTTTTTCCCTTTTGTGGGTCAAACACTATTTTTGGACTCAAAAAGCTTCGTGGCGTGGCCATGGAGTCTCCAGGGGCAACGGGAGAGAGCAGGCCAGCGTCAGGTTTCCCGCTCTCGGGCCCCTCTCGAGGCGGCCTCTCGGCGCCTCCCGCCCCCGCGCCGCGCGTCTCCTCACGAGCCCTCCGCTCTCGCTCGCTCCCTTCCCCACCAGCCTCCCCCTCCGTCAGCCTCGCCCCGCTAGGATCCCACCTCCCCCGGTGCACGCCTACCCCGCCCCGCCGACCCGCTCGCCTGGGCCTCCAGTTAGTTCCGGGCACACGGACGTCCTAGCTTGGGGCCGCCCTCGCGCCCCGCCCTCGCCCCGGCCTCGGCGGAGTTCCAGGGCGCGCGCACCCCTCTACTCCCGGCTCTACGCGCCGCCCCGCCTGCAGCCCCGCCCTCTCCTGCTCCCATCGCCTCCGTGAGCCCAGCGGCGCAACCCCGCCTAAGGGCCTTTCGCCAGGCAAGTGCCAGAGCGCGCGCCGCCACCCTCCCCTAACTCAGCGCCATCCCGGGGCCGCAGGACCCAGGAGACCCGCCCTCTCACGGGCACGCACGCGCAGTGCCCACCTCCGCCGGCTGAAAGCCCTCGGTCCTCAGGTCGCAGGCCCAAAGTCTGGCCCCGCCCCTCGTCCCGGCCCCGCCCCCAGGCCCGGCCCCGCCCCTCATGCCGGCCCCGCGCACGCGCGCCTCCCCAGCCCGGCCCTCCCTCGCCCCCGCCGGTCCCGCGGTCCCACGGCGCCTGGTAGCCCCCAGCCCCCTCCCTCCTCCCACCCTCTTAGTGTCCCACCCTCCATAGCTTTGTGCCACGGTACCGAGCTGCTCCCGCATCAGCTGTGCTGCGGGAGGAGGGAGCCGCCACCGAGGAGCTGCCGTTCGCTGCCCCGGGCAGGGGCACAGGTAGGTGGCGACCGCGGGCTGGGCCGCTCTCGGGGCCTGGGGCTGCTTGTGGGGGCGGGGGCGGGGTGTGGGGGAGGGGAAGCATGAGAGGGACAGGATGGGGGGGGTGGATTGAGGGAAAGGTGGGAGGAGCAGGATAGAGGTGTGGGAGATGGGTTTAAGGGTGGGTTCGGGGTGCCAGGGTAGGCTGTGGGGGCGTGTGAGAATTGGGGTTCGCGGTCAGGGTGGAGAGGGAGCAGGGTTAGCTTGGGTGGACTCGGGGAGTGGCATGCATGGGAATTGAGAGAGGGGCGAAGGATTGGCTGTCCAAGCAAGAGGGAAAAGGAATGGGATTTTAGGGGTGCAAGAAGGAAAGGAGTTAGGATTGGAATAGGGGAAGGGGTGGGTCTTGGGGGAAGGGAGGAAAGAAGTTGGGGCTATGGATTGTGAAAGAAGGGGATTTTAAAGGTTGAGGACAGAAGACAAGGAAAAGGATGGAGAGATTGGGGTCCTAGGAGAGGGAAGCTCGAGAGTGAGAGGAAGGAAGAATAGATGGTGAGGTGTGGAGTGGTGTGGGGAAGGGAGGGGAGACAGGTGGAGATGAGATTGGGCCTGGAGCCACATTTTGGAAGGAGCAGGAAGAGTTGGAAGTGTATGAGGTTTGAGAGATGAGAGGGAGGTTAGGATTTTTGGTGTGGGGATTGGATTTTGTGTGAGAAGCTCTAGAGTTGGTAAGAGTGTCAAGATAGGGGAGAGTTTGGAATGTTCTTGTGGGGAAGTAGGGAGCTGGGTGTGATGCAAACCTCTGGAGCTTGAGGAAGGAAGGGGTATGGGTGAGAAGGCAGGTAGGGAAGTGCAAATGACAGGAAAAAAGTAGTGAGGTTGAAAATTGAGTAATGAGGGGAACTCAGAACAATGAAGGTGGATTGTTCTTTGGTTATTGGTAGTTTAGAACTAGTTTCTGTTCAGGTTTTAATGTTGGAAATTTTCTCAAGAATACTGCATTTTCAAATAAACCATGGGTGCCTGGAGCCTTGGGATGAAGGCCATAGTTGACAGATGTTTTCCTGGTGTGTGGATATGGCTAATTTTTGCCCTGGGAGAGGGAAGAAGGGAGGCTTCACTGTAACTCTCCTGGCTCTGTTCCCACCCACTCTTTCCTCAGATGCCCACTGTTTTTTTATCTCCTCTCTTCACCCCCCCCAACGACCCCCTCAACTTGAACCAGTGAGTGCCAGATGAATCAAACAGGTGGATGAGATTAATTTTTAACATTTTTTTTAATCCTTAAGGCTGATGTCATATTTTTATTCTTGAAAGATAACATCATGCCATGGAAAGAGCTTGAGCTTTGAGCTATAGCCTTGAGATTGAATTCTGGCCCTGCCTCTTACTAGCTCTGTTCTAGAGTAAGTTACTTTATTTCTCTGAGCCTCTTTTTTTTTTTTTTTTTTTTTTTTTTTTTTTTTCTTTTTTTTTTTTGTGACAGAGTCTCACTTTGAGCCTCTTTATCTATTAAATGGCAGTACTGATCGCATAGGATTGTTGAGGATTACGTGAGGTCATTTTATATAATACCTAGCAACTGGTAGGTGCTTAATAAATGGCAGCCATCACTTCCAGTATCACTACTATAGCTTACTACTCATAGGGGATTGTTATCTTTACTTACCAAAGTTAGGTATGTTTTTCTTTTTCTCTGTAAATAAGATAGTTATAGACTGAACTCACAGTCTTACCCTGTTAACTTTGTTGCTTCCTTCTCCCTCCCTGCCAAAATCCACCTGACTGGGATAGTTATGCTTTTTGCTTGGTAAACTGGCCTTAAGATCTTTTTAAACAGTTTAACTGTCATGTGTAGTTGTCAATTATTTTATCTTTCCTCTTATTTCAGAAGGCTGTGGAGAACTGAATTTTTAATGTAGTGTGGCTATATTTCATTCCTTTGATGAAATAATATTCTTCATGGTAACTTCGGCTCATGTGCAGTAACCAAATATTATTAATAGAATATACTATTGTAATGTTTTTCTATGACGTATGAGTTACAAAGCTGCCTCTCTGTAGTGGGCCCCTCTGTAGTGGGCTTGGAGACTATCAAAATGCTCCTGTTACTCTGTTGATCTTGTATATAATATAGTTACTACAGATCTAACCTGGATGTTGTTATTCTTGCAGATACTAATTATTTTAATTTTCCAGTTTGGATGGGGTTTTTACCATGGCTTAGAACAGGTCCTGTCTCCTGACTGGGTGCATTTATAATAGAACACCCTGAACAATAGCCTGGGGCAAATGAAGCCAAGTACACAAGCTTTTTGTAGAATTCTCTTCCCTTTATAGTCCTTAGCCTTGAAGGGTTTAAACAATAATTTATTTTTATTTAAAAAAAATTTTTTAATATTTAATTTATTTTTTTATTTTTTTTATTTTTATTTTTTGCAGAGACGGGGTCTGCTCTTGCTCAGACTGGTCTCGAACCTCTGAGCTCAAGCAATCCTCTCGCCTTGGCTTCCCAAAGTGCTAGGATTATAGGCGTGAGCCACCATGCCTGGCCTAAACATTAATTCTTATATCATTTTATAGTTCCTCGCAGACTCTCAGGAAGCTCTTTATTGGGAGAATGCAAGATGTGTAAATTTAGTAGTAGAAATCAAAGGTCACCAGGATTCCCTGAACCACAGTCAGTTCCTCCAGTGGCTTCTGGACAAATGATACAGGTTTGCTCTTCAGGAAATTGGACTTTTTTCATCATTTAAAAAGAGAAATGGTATTTGATGAGTAATCCAAAGATAAAATATACCCAGAACTGTGCTTTTTTTTGAAAATGATCTCTGGAAGCTAAAGCTGCCAAGGATTTTGAGGAGCCTGGGTTAGCATTCTTACCCTGTCCCAAGCTGCCTGTGCCCTCTGCTGGATGGAACCAGTCTTTTCTAATTTTCATCTGAAGGGGTCTTTCATCCCTCCATCCCCATTTGTCCACTTTACTCCAAAGTTTGTGGAAGGACTAATAGGTGTAAGGGTTAGAGGTAATACAGGTGGGCAGACCCTATTTCATTGTTCAGGGAATTCCCAGTGCATTGATCCATTATAATAGAATTTGCCTTTTTACCATTAAAATCAAGTCATTGCTTTCTGATCTACAGGTAGAGTAGGGCTCTAAATGTCCAATTACAGGGATAAGGACCAGAGGAAATCTGCTTTATTTTCTCATCAAGATTAAAGTTTGAAGGGGCTAGATGCTTACCCCCACTGAAAGAAGAGTGAGGTGTCTCCTTAGTAGGCACTGTGAATGCTGGCAAGGGAAGAGTGTGGGCTGTAAGAGTTGGCACTGTGACAGGATTTTTTTTTTCTGGTTTTTAGTTTAGTTCCCTCCCAGCTCCCCTGGTAGTACCAGTAGCAATATACTCCCATCATCTGCTTTGCTTCCACCACCTGCAGGAGGATCTGGCAAGTGGGGGAGGAGCCTGCAGCTGTTGCCTGGAAGGGGAGCTGGCTCCTAGTGACAATATCAGCCGGCCGTGCAACTCAGAGCACTAAGTCTGTCCCTTTGAGGTCTCACCCTTCCTCTCATTCAGTTCAGCAAGTTTCTTTTGAGGGCTTACTCAGTACTAGGCAATATGTTCTGCCTGGGAAAGAGAGATGAAATAAATAGGTGCCTTTCCTTCAAAAAGTCACAGCTGTGGGTACATTAACAAGTAAACAGACATAATACATGGTGCTAAGTGCTATGCAGAAAGAGACACTGGGTGCTCTGGGAAAACCATTCAGGCATGCACTGGTGCAGGGGTTAGGGAAGGTTTCCCAGGAGAGGGATGATGGTTGAGCTGAGTGTTAATGATGAGTAGGAATTAGTTAGGTCAGGGAGGCAGAGAAGGTTATTCTAGCCCAAGCGAGCAGAATGAGCAAAGGCCAGCAGGACAAGAGAACATGGCCAATTTACCCAGATAGTATGGCATGGCCAGAGATTAGGGCAGAAGGAGATGAGCAGGAAAGAGTGAGGCTCTAGGGCTAGGCAGG